TAGACTTCAATGCCAGAGGGTAATTCCCACTCCTTACCGTCGGCGAGTTCGTCGCATGGGAAGGAGAGGGACCATGGTGGTTGCAAGAGGCCACAATGGCTGCATTCGGGGCTAGGAGGAGGAAGAGGAGGAGAAGGAGGCGGCAACAGTGAGCAGGCGACTAATCAGACATGAAGACTGGTACGTTACACATATGACCAAGTACAAGATGATGTAGAGGTGGTGAAAAACAATGAAGTACTCAAACGGAGCCAAAAGCCCAACGGGCACATGGCTGGCCTAATGGACAGAACTGACAAGTTGTGTAGGTGTGAAGTATAACATGGTGCACCTATGAATAGGGATGAAAACCGAAAAACCTCTCAACCGTTTTCTGCTTTCACATTTGAATATAAAAACAAAAACGGTAAAACCGGACACGAAAACGAGCTTACGGAATATCAAGAATTTCGAAAACGAACTAATTCGAGTGGAATTATGTCGAACACGGTTGGTATACGAAAAATCAATACGGAATATTGACCCGTTGGACCAAGTGCATAACAATTAACAAGTGAATAATAATTAACAAGTCCTATAACTTTCTTAAAAAAATATCTTCATTCGACACAATGTAAGAAATATATGATTTTTCAAAGTCAACAAACGATTGTACGCGATTAATATACCACTAAAAATTTATTTATTTTTTTAACATCTTAAAGACCTCAAATGGAAAAACCAAAACTTAGAAAGATGTAGATCTCGTCGAGAGCTACAATTTTCATATAAAAATCATCTTTATCCGAGATCATATAAAAAAGATACAATCTTTCTAAGACTAGACTTCTAGTGGGCCAAATTTGGTTTAAACTGAATTTTGAATTCGGGATATTCTGAATTAAAAGTAGAAAAGTAGAAAACGGTCAGAAAAATGTCGAGACCGTTTTCGTTCCGATTTCGAATTTGATGTTCCGAATTTCAAACCGAATTTAAATTTGTTCGAAAATACGAATTCGATTGGATTAAATGTAGAAAACGATGCGGTTCGGTACGGGATATTTCCGTACCGTTTTCATCCCTGCCTATGAAGACGATTATCCCATCTGTATAACCATAATAATTCTTCATTCTATCGAATCATGTTCCTCTTCCTCATTGAGCTGTCTCCATTCCGTGTTGCTAACATGGCAAAGGATTCGATATAGCAAGGTGTGGCACTGTAGGATTGTCGTTAATTATTTGCCATTTTAGTTAGCGGTGGTTCATGGGTTGTTTGTTGTTGTGATGGTTGTTTTGTTTTCGATTTTATGGGGAGCAGTTTTTGCAGTGGCACCTATCTTTTTGTTATTGTAAATTGCCTTTTTCTACTAATACATATCTGAAACTTTTTACTGGTTGCTTTTTTTTTGAAAAAAGTACAATACTCGCCGTACCTTGTTTGCCGTGGATCCCCGCCCCCTGAATCGCTAGCTGATAGCCCCTTCTGCCGTGACGCTAGCTCCGAAGAGTCTGATGAACGCAGCAGTGAGGACAAAGAAAGGAGATGTGTTATTGACAAATCGACCCGCGGACCCGGCATGTAAGCCTTTTGGGCCGTGGCTTTGGGCCAACACATTTACACCGCACTTTCTTTTCCCAAGTGACACATTCGCGTCTTCGAGTGACCGCTGATGTGGGAGGGCTGGTGGTGCTGGCCCAGCCGCCCTGCGCTGGGACTATGCGAGGCTGCAACTACAATACGATTTTGCTGTTTGGAATGCTCCATAAATTCGGTTTCATAAACTTTATCACGGAGTAGCTTCATAAAAAATTGAGTTTTTAGAACATCCTTTTAGTACTCTTGTAACTTTACCTTTTTGGTTTGGCACAAAAATATAGAGCGAAATAGAAAACTTTTTTTTTTCTGGTGGCAACTCAAATGTTACTGGGTTTGTCTCTTTGATTTCACTTGTATCTTCTCTGTATGCTTTTTTTTTTGTATTTGTACTAGGCCATTATTGTATCTTGCATGGGATGTATATAAACTACTACTTTTGTCAAAAAATATATATATAATTTTTGTTTTTCAAAGAGTCAAACGGTATAAATTTGACCAAATATCTTATATACAGGTTAAGGGCCTCACTACTGAGCTGTGGAACCGTTTTTGAAAGGTGCTGCACCTCCAACCAATATAATGCTGTTCTGCCCTAGAAATGGGCCTCAGTCCAAAAAGCAGATGCGCAATATCCTGCTGGGAAAAAGTCCATTTTACCTTCTGAACTATTCTTAAAGTCTAATTTTCCTCCCTGAACTCTAAAACCGGGTAAAGCACCTCCTTCAACTTTTAAAACCGTTCATTTTACCTCTCTAACCGGTTATAGGTGGTTTTCAAATGCGTTTTTGTCTTTTCTTTTTTATTTATTTTGGCTGAATTTTTAAAAAATCATAGTAAATCATAGAAAAATCATAAAATAGAAAATCTATTTTTTTGTCTCCACATGAGTAGATCTACATAGTGACTATATAATACAATATGCTTTAGTACAAAGTTTTTGTTGTATCTTTAGATCTATGATTTTTTCGTAAGTAATTCAAAGTTTGAGTTACTATGGTCCAATTGTGATGAAATTTTTATGGTTGTCTTATTATTATATGATTGAACTGTAGTAAAAAATTCATGCTCATTGGATCATGTATAAATTGAGTTATATATTTATTTAGTTTTATGCTTGTTAAATAGTTTTAAAATAGTTAAAAGTGTGTACAAATAGAAACGAGTATGAAATTTTTACTACATTTAAATCATACAATAGTTAGACCACCATAAAAATTTCACTAAAATTGGACCATAGAAACTGTAGCTATGAATTGATTCAGAAAAGCATAGATCTAAAAATACAACAAAAATGTTGTACTAAAACATACAATATTATATGTTTACTGTGTAGATCTACTCATGTGAAGTCCAACAAAATTGAATTTTCTATTTTATGATTTTTTGTGATTTTTAAGATTTTTAAATATTTAGCCAAAATATATAAAAATAAAAAGACAAAACCCTTTTGAAAACCACCTATAACAGGGTCAGGAAGGTAAAAATGGACGGTTTTAAAAGTTGAGGAAGGTGTTTTACCCAGTTTTCGAGTCAAGGAAGAAAACTAAACTTTGAGAATAGTCCAGGGAGATAAAATAGATTTTTTTTTCATATACTGCTGTTCTCCCCAGAAATGGGCCTCAGCTCGGGACCTCAGCGATAAAACAACGCCGGCACTATGAAGAAAGTTGAACGGTTAAGCATGCAAAAATTCATGTGTACTATATTTGGCCTTCAACTTAGTTTGAATCAAAGAAACTAGCAAACTAATCACTAAATACATACAAATAGATGCAAATTCCCGGATCACCGAAGCCCACTTCGTTCTCTCTCATCGCGCCTTGCTCGCAAAGCGGCATGCGGAAGAAACAAGAAGCTTAGATGCGGATTTGAACCACCGAAGGATTTCAAGGAAAATGCTCCGTGCTCTTCTCACTGAAACAAGAAAAAAAAAAATTCAGTCCTTTGCTCTAACCAGCTGAAGAGCTACCACAACCACAAAAGAACGAAGGAATAAAAAAATATAGCTTTATAAATCATACGTCAATGCTGCCTCAGTCATGCTAATAACTTTACAAATCATACCTCAATGCCTCATGTAGTCATGCTAATAACTTTATAAATCACCAGCCATTTTTTCTTCTAAATATTCAGCTATGGAAATTGAAGTACAAACGGTTTTATGGTTTGATGCGAGAGAAAAGGTGATGCTAATAACTTTAAAAATCATACGATCAATTTATAAGAAAGTCATGCTAATAACTATATAAATCATACCTCGATACCTCATGTAATCAATGTTATTTATTCGTTATGGAGGATTTTTTTCGATAGACACGTGTGTGCTGCACGTGCTTGTCCTCTAGTTTAAAAAATATTACTTCTGGGGGAAGCGCCCCGTGCCGTCGGAGACGAGCGACGAGGACACGCGGCGGTGGCGAGAGCGCACGTGGAGCTTCGTGTGCGGCGGGCGGTACGGGATCGACGACCCGGTGATCAACCCGGTGGCCATGCCGGCGCCGGCTCCCCTGCGCGCGCGTGCTGGTCACCGTGGCGGGGCTGGACATGCTCAGCGCGAGGGGCAGTGCGTACGTCCACGGGTAGCGCGGCGAGGCGGAGCTGTACGAGACGCCCGGCGAGTATCACGTCTACTTCCTTAACAAGCCCGACAGCGAAAAGGCGGCGAAGGAGATGCAAGTTGTGGTGAACTTCATCAATGGCGATCAAGTGAGCAACACAGCTTCAAGAATGGACGCCTGATCGATGCTGCTTATTTGTTAGATGTTAAGTACCACGGCTGTGTCACTTGGCTATCTTGTAAAAATCGGTCGGATTAGTGCATCAATCTATGTAATGAAATGTCTGGCTTTTCACAATCAACTTTGAAGCCTAACGAGAATCTCGGTAAATCCATGCATAGTAAAACGTCATGTTCAGAACCAGAATATTCCTTGAACATGGATTACCTAAACAGATTCTTCTTCCACTATGCTCAGATTTGCACTATAAAAATGACGGAGATGTGAAACTCTGACGCTCGATACAATTGACTCGGTCACTCCAGAACAAGAGTAACTAGCTGTTCATGACCCAACAATTGCACTAGAAGCTACAATTGTTTGAACGGACAAACCAAAGCCTGCATTTTTTTCATTTATTTTGGTCATCAATCCCACTACGCACTATGGATTGAACAAGCTGGCCTGCTTTGAAATTTTCGTATTAGCAACGAGAAACGACACCCTATTTACATGGTATATAATAGTTGCTCTTGGATCAGAAAACTGTCAGTGACCAAGACGATGTACAGATGCAGAGCAACAATTGGCTACACGATAAAATTAGTCCCACGCTTTGCAAAATTGCAGTGCATGGTGTAATCACCATATAATAATCTAATGAACGGCCAAGCGCTGGAGATGATCCATGAAGACCTGGAAGCTCACATCATCTGTGAAATGACATCCCCTCCTGGTGCTGGAGGATTGTCATACGAGACTGACGGATTAAGCTTTGCCAGCAAAAATCGAGCCTGCAATTTTCAAAAGAAAGTAAATTAAATATGAATGGCATTCCTTCCATCCTCTTCTATTTGATGTTAATGTATAGAACTTTATCTTATTAATAAAGTCAAAGTTTATATAAGTTTATATAATTTGGTGGTTTTGAAATGTCTGGCTATTTGATGAAGGCTGACCACATGGATTTCAACAAAAAAAAAAAGAACACAAGGAACATTGTTTTGGGTTTCCAGCTAATCAATGACCCATGAGCATCCCCTGATATGCTGATCTGCTATTGGGCCTACACTGCAGTTTTCAACTGAAACTTGGGCCACTAGTTAAAATTGAAAGTAAGATGAATTTGTGAACCTTATCCAGTAGGGAGAACAAATGTTTGCAATAAATAGATACACACAGAGAAATTTCCTAAAGGAAAATGCAAGTGTGCTGAAATCTAACAAAGAACAAACAGAATATAGACAACAACAACAACAAAGCCTTTAAGTCCCAAACAAGTTGGGGTAGGCTAACAAACAGAATATAGAATATAAAAGAAATAACCTGAGAACCATATTGATCGCACACGACCAATCGAGGCACAGGAAAGCGTTCCTTGATTATTGCATCAGCTTCCTCCTGTGGACCTTGTAACAACTGGGCAAATGACTGGACATCACACAAGGTTAGTTGTCGGTTTGCTAATGTAGCACATTAGCATATATATTGTATATAGTGAAGCCCACTGTTCGTAGATCAGCCTAACAGCCTCATGTGTAAAGGCTATGAAACCACAGAATAGTAAGCTTATTTTTCTTAACATAAAAGACCATAAGACTTTCAGAACATTTTGATGCAAAGGCACACTGTTAAAGAGTTTAAATCAAGCATGGATACACTAAGTTGTAGCCACATGTACAAATGCATAGAATAAATGCTACATGAAGCTCAACAGACCAAATCTAATCTAATATATAATAGGTTTTGGTTGACAATACATTACCTCATGGCCTTCTTGATATTGGTAACCAGCCTTTCGCCACTGTGCAATTGTTATCCCATGGAATATGACAACAGTAAAATAAGAATCCAACAAAAGGATCCTATCAGCTGCAATTGCAGTTACATCCAACAGAACTGGCTCTGGACCCGATTGGAATGAATAAGATATTAGTGATGGCTGGATCATCACAACTGCATTTGATACATTCTCTCTGTTTAACATCATTGTGAAATATGCAGTTTCATCTGGACTGTTGTTAAAAACCTGCATGGGAAGTAAAATAATCAGTGTACCAAGAAGTGTGATTCCATGATCTGTTGATCAGAACTGCTCAATAAATGAGGGAAAATGCTTTACCTGAACAAACTGAGATCGTCTCAAATTAAACATAAACTGGGGAAATATCGACAGACGAGGGGATAAACTGAAAGATGAAGGTGTTTCTTTGTGATAGTCTCCAAATTTCGAACACAAACTAATCAATGCTCGATCAAGCCATCTTATCGGGTCAAAATCAGCCTGAAAAAAGCATGAAGATTATACTATCAGTATATTAAGGCTCCAAACAGAAATAATAACTACAGCAAGCTGGCAACAATTTATTACTGCACCATATTCATCATACTGTGATACCATTTTCTCAAGTGAAATAAGTTAATCTATCATGTATGTCCTAATTCCTAATGGTAAAATAATTTAATACATGTCGTCAAGTACCTCAGCTTCCATCTTAAACGAGACCAATCGTGCCATGACTGCAGCAGCTGCCTCTTGATCAAAGCCATCTATTAGTTCCTAATAAAGCACATGTAATCCAAGTTTAACAATATTATATTTGTTTTTAAAATGAACATGATGAGGAAAAAAACAGGTGATAACTGTCAACAAATTAAGCAGAAAATGATTGTGATCACCAAAGTAAAGAAAGCTAGACTAAAACTTGCCTGCACACCACCAGAACCAACAACCCATCTTCTAGAAAGTGTAGTGGCTCGTAATCTCATCTGCCCCTCATGATGCTGGTAACTGCATGCAATGTAACACCTCAAGTCAGTCACATACCATTCTTTGAATGTATTGGCTTTTTTGCCTAAAAATGAAGGTGGCCAAACAGATTCCCTACTAGGTTAAGAATTGGAAGTAGAACTGATTGCTTGCTGATTGACCAACACCAACCGAATCTGGTCCATCCTTCTTTGCAATATCAAATACTAAACAGAGTGATGTTTTCCTGTCTAGACCACACATCTTCCATGCGTTAGTGTTTCCCTGACCTACAACTGTATCTGAGGATAGAGGACTTTTCTGCACATAAAAAGATCAGATGTTTAGTGTTATTCCAAAAAAAAAAAATTTGACAACACATGACTGATACACATTATACCTTCTCCAGGGAAGTACAAGGTCCAATAATTCCTTGGATTTTGACATCCTTTGAGCAGTTAATCTCAAATATACCACTGCAAATATAATTTTATACACGTCAATCAGAACACTCAAAATTATTGATGGGCTAAGACATGTTATTAATTACAATAAAGAGTACTTACTTGAATGATAAATCAAGATCATTGTCACTTGACTGAAAGATGCGTCGAAGTGAGTCTTTAAAAACAGAATGACCAAAACTTTCTGCAAGCACAACTATCCCACCAGTTCTCTCCACAGCAACCTTCATCTCAGCAACACCAACCTGAGAAAGAGAATATAAACAAGATTTTTTAATTCAAAAGCATCCTACGCACATTGAACTGACACAGAACTGAGATTTACTAACTATTGGTAGTTTGTTCATTACCATATTTCAAATGACAAATCATTTGACTATTTTTGTTGCAGAAACTACTATTATACAAAGGATACTTCACCAAATTGGGTGAAGCATTGAGTTCGTATGCCAGTAATGCACATTGAAGGAGTCTAAAGCTTCTGTTCATTGGTCATCATAATCATATAGTGTGGTTTGGTGAGAGAAAAAAATGCTTATGCAATATAAGTCCGTGAATTATTGCATATCGATTTTTCTTCAATTACTAACTAAACAACCAAAACCAAGCAAACAAAACTAAATTTGCATCAAAAATAAAAAGAACAGAACAAGGGCCTCAATCAACATGCTATTGTTTGATCCAAACTCTAAGAGGAAAAGAAGGCAACAAACCTGGTCAAGCGCACAAGCAAACAAATCAAGTACATGACCTTGATTCACAAGCTGCTTAGAGATATCGTCGTACAATTTAACAGCTTTGTTATAAAGTGGAGCTGAACCTTTATCGAGGTCTTTGTGAGAGCGAATTGGTTCTGACAGGGACTTGGATACGATCTGAAATTTGGAAAAGAATATCATTATAGTACGTTAGAAAGCATAAGCAAAGAAATGACTAATGACAATTCTTTAAGAAAAGCCATTATTTTTTAGACAATCAGACTCTCAATGATAAACGATATTCAAGGGGGAATTAATATCATGTACATGCTTGTGCCTACATTTCCCTGATGGCATATCACTAATTTGCATGTAGTGAGTTATAGAAGTGAAAAGAAAGCAGACTAAAATGGCATTCAACTTTATCTGGAAACAAACCATGCTATACTGATCAAATATAAGCAGAACAGATAAAACTGGTTTGTCTTATTTTCATATTGCATACAACATTGGGAATTGGAGAGGTTTATTATACTTCCATTACAGATAAGAAGCACAAAATTATATCCAAAACAGCAGAACATGGATCAAGGTACAAAATCCACAAAATTTCCTTCAAATGAAACTGAACTCTAAATATGCACAGCCCTGTAACAGCGCTAGTTGTAACGAAGTTTCTTAAAATTAATCCAGTCAATTTGGGTCATTGCATGAGGTTTTCATACAACTAGACTAGTCATGTAGGGCTAAACCCAATCTGTTAGCCAGTACCAATCCAATTGGGATACGGTGTTACAAGTAGTTCCACAGCATATTAAACAGAAAAGAAAAAACACATTATTACTTACAAAAAGAGAGTAGAAATAGGTTTTGTAACTGTAGGAGAATGATTATAAACACCACCAACTATACAAAATGCAATTGCTAACGTTACGGCGCAGTAGCAGTAGCAGCATGCCTGTCTGGCAAGGTCACAAGGATTTGGAAGCTACCATTTTCATGGTTAAGATTATAGCTTTCCTGATACCCAAAAGATTATAGCTTTTCCATATTCCATAATAGCTAATAAGCTTCCTAGGATACCTGTTTGGTATCTTATCTAGTTAGGATGGTTATTATAGAATGATTTATCAGTATCTGTTAGATGAGCCTCTATACAAGGAAGCCTATGACACTGTTGTAATTAAGCAAGAAGAAACAGTGGTTCCACTCTTAGCTTTCTCCCTTCCCCCCAGGAATGCCAACACGACCTGGCCATCCTAACATCTACATTTACAGCATCAGTGTAGATAAATAAAATGGGAATGAAGATAAAGAACAACAACATAACAACATAGCCTTTCAATCCCAAGCAAGTTGGGGTAGGCGAATGAAGATAAAGAACATGGTATTAAAAAAAGAACTTTGACTTACAGAACCAGGTCCCTCTGTTGATGGGCCACCTACAAATGCCATAATTCTAGCACCTGATCCTGGAACACAAACCCCCAGGAGACTAGCAGCAACACTTAATGCAACTCCAGTACACCTAGATGAACGTTTATCAGCTGGAACAGGCCAAGGGTCCTTTTGCAGTTCTTCTATGACCTACAGAAAAAGGAAACCAGTGTCAACAGCGTAATGATGGAAAAGAATTCTAGTATGTCACTTGAGATTGATAATTTCACAGTGTTCCATATTTTCATGTGCTACAGAACTTTGCCAACTCCCTGACCAATGTTTCACGGTTTTATAATCAAGCAGAGCTCTTAACTGAATTCAATACAAACTCGCACTCAGAAGCAGGCAGCAGGAACCTAGCAATACTCTCTGCTGAGAGGCCATCCCTTGCGCCTGCAATCACACCTGTTGTGGGTTTAGTTTTCCCAGCAAAGAAACTCATTTGGTCCAGAATTTGCTCCTTTGTAACTTCTTTTGTCCCTTTGAACACATATGACTTTGGCAACAAGCCAAAACCCAATTCATTCACCTACATAAATTAAATCTCTGTATTAGTTGTTGACCAGTGCATTCAGCAATGGAGTATCAATATGAGAGATGATAATGACCTGAACATATGTACCGAAAGTAATAAATCCAACAAGGGATTGATCTGGCAATAGTTCAATTGCTTGTGCTAAAGCAGACTTCAAATAGCCAATCTCCTCCTCAATCATACATGTGTCAACAACAAAGAGGAAGACTGGAGGCGCCACAGGACCTGTTTCAGAAGTGGATTTGTACTCAACGGTGGTATATTGAGGAAACAGCTCAGCAGGGAGGTTGTTTTCTGAAATAGAGTTGTAATGTTGGGGGAAATGGTTGCGCTGAAAGCAGAACGGACAGACCCAAATCTTTGCGACAAAATCAACAACCGAGAAAGGATTGAGAATCGAATGGCACATGCGACAACGGAGAGGGACATAAGGAAGAACAGGAATGGAAGGGTTTGGCTTTAGAGGAGTATAAATGGCAGAAACAGGAACAACACAGTTAGTAGCATCCTGCTTTGTGCCTGGTATAACATTCCATGTCATTCTTATCCCATCCTGGGCCTCAAGGTCCAGAAACTCAGACATTTTCTGTAATCAAGTGGCTTTAGCGATAGTTTCTTCAACAGAACCTCTGATTCACAACACTGCAAGCCTCTGCTAGCAGTAAACTCTCCAGCCTGTAATGTAATAGTCAATTCAACATTGGGTTAAATTGGAGAAAGCCGAACACAACAGAGAAAAGAGAAGAAAATTGATATAAACAAATCACATTAACTAGCATATAGACTACTGATTTACTGGCAGTATCAGTCATTGTGAGCTTCTGAATTTTCAAACAACTGAAGCACCCACTCCAAGTTAAGATTAATGACGGAAGTGGTCCTACAATGAGTCTCAACTATTCCTTAACAGAATGTAAACCTTAGTCTATGAGAGGTTCCTTTTAGAAATTTGTATTACTAAACAACAATATTCGGAGCTGATAAGTGGAGGTCTCTACGAAGCCATCACCACCTAGGGAGAAGGTTGATCATGCATATATCATAAGGAATATAGGTTGAATCCCCCCTACAATTTATATATAAAAAAGGATACATTAACTGCGAAATAACTGAATTGTAGTAGAAGACCAGCTCGCAAAAGGCTGGATGGATTGGAGCATCAACCACAGCAAATAACTGAAATTCATTGCTCACAGCAACAGCAATTTTCTCGCAGAAGACCAAAACTCAAATCTCAGACACTGATTCAAGCAAGCTAGGGCCTACTTACCACCAGAAGACGAAATCAACCCACGGCCCGTATGGATCTCCACTCCAACGAAGAGGCCTGAGCGAACACCACGGAAGCGCTGGTGTGGTTCGCTTCGGTGGAAGGGGGTTTCGGGGTTTCGGAGGTGGTGTGAGGCTGGGGGCCGGGGAGGTGTCGAGGGGACTCGCGCCTCCGCCGCCGCGAGGGGAACGGATGGAGGGGGAGCCGGCAAGAAGCACTGAAGCAGACAGGGACGGCGATCGGTGGCCTCTGGAGTCCGGAGCCCTCTGCTCGCCGAAGGGGAGAGAAGTACTGGAAGTTTTGCTGACAACGAGGAGTTGCAATTGCAAACGGGGAGACTACCGAGCTCTCTTCCGACTTCCGAGCAGACAAAGGGGCCGTTTTGGACTTTGGATCGAGGCTTTTACCTGCGTGTTATTATAAAAATTAGTAATTATCTATGAGCTATTAAAAATATTGAGTTCTCGTCAGTGCCACTGCTCTGAACTTGTTTGTCCTCTACGTCACTTCTGTTAGATTTGGCTCCATCGGTGTCAAACTGCAGGTATAAAAAGTCAAAAATACCCCTAGATATGAATATGCAATTAATTTTTTTAGCATCTTAACGATCTCAAATAAAAAAAACTCAGAACTAGAAAGTTACAATATTTATATAAAAATTATCTTCATTTAATTTCATAAAAAATATGATTTTTCTAAGACATTAATCATATCAAATCATATCTTTTTTTACAGAATTAAATGAAGATAACTTTTATACAAAAATTGTAGATATTGTCGAGGTATATAATTTGCTAGTTTTGAGTTTTTTTATCTGAGGTTATTAAGATGCTCAAAAAAAATAATTGTGTATTCAGACCTGAGGATATTTTTTATTTTTCACACCCGCGATTTAACCCTGTTAGAACCAAATATGATGGAAGTGGCGTGAAGGGCAAAAGAGTTGAGAGCAATGGTACCTGTGAAAAACTTAACTTGTTAATAACTTATGTGTAATAACAATCTTTTATAATGGCACATATGTAAAAGCATTGCTCCTTCTTTGCCTATACCATACCAAGATCAGGTGTTGAGAAAATCTTGCTTTGCCGAGAAAACTTGTCCGACCCAGCAAGTTTTGCCTTGCTAATAGAGGAGGACCAATTGTCTCAAGCTTGAACCGAACGGAAGAGCTGCTGCGCAAAACTGTACACATGCTCATGGGTTATAACCGAAGAAAAAAACAAAAAACAATCCATCATTCATGGCAAATGAGGATCGGAATGATACATATTTTTTATCTTTTACCCTTTTTATAAAATCTAAAAGCTATTAGTACAATTTATTTTGTGATGGTCATGAAATCCATAATAATCCTTTTGTCCTATAATATAGTATAGTGTAGAGATTTTAAAACAACTAGTAAATATACTCGTGTGTTGCATAGACAGTGTCGTGAGTCACTCAGTCTCCTAGCTTCTACCATTGCCACCTGATTTAGTCACAGTGTAAAAATACAAACCGAATCGGATCGCAATCACCTTGACAATGTTTCTACTTTGGAGTTTCTCCACACGAGAGAGGGATCTCCTCTTCCCCCACACACCTACACGTGACTGCAGCACTACCTGGAAGGCCGCCATGCCTCCACCGAAAGTTCACAAAGACCTCAAGCATTGTAGATCGGCAAGATAAAAAGGGCAACTTGTCCAATCACTCAAAGCTGTCAAGCTTCAACGCCTAAACCTCACGAGGATGCACTATAGTCAGTCTGTTCGTTTGGCTGTGACTTATCGTAAACGATCGTAAATTTTCAACCGGAACGGTATTTTTCTCTCACACAAACCAACCAACAGTACTTCTTCACGAACCAGCAACGAAACGAACCAGACAACCGAACAGGCTGAGTGTCAATCCTTGGATGTGATCTTAAATTAGTTGGTAGGGTTGATTTTTTTTAGATAAGAGTTGATAGGGTTGATGAGTGTAGAAACACTTTCTCTAACTTGTAATAGCCTTGGGACACTCCTGTGCACATAAGAATGTGAGGCAACCTCATATATATAGCCCCACCCCCTCATAGAGGAGTTGTAAAAAGCATGCCAGAAAACTACAAATCTGAATTCCCATAACATTCTAACCAATGTCTAAACATCTTTTAAAAAACTTTTCCAAAACAAAAATACGTGATTCGACCCGTATGAGTAATTTTTTGTTCTAGAAAGTCTTAAAGCGTGTTCAGACATTGATTAGAACGTTTTGGAATTTTTCAAGAGTAGTTTTTGGAGCAAAATCTAATCTCTGGAAGCTTTCAAATGTATTTTTCATGACCTCTTAATATGTTATTTGGGATTCTTATGTCCTAATCTATCTCTAGAATTTTTCTCAAAATTTTTACAACCTTGCAGATATTTTTCATGGCACACAATTCTTATAAGGTGCTATCAGAATTTTTATTTTAAAAAGTATGAACATGTGGATGTTGTTGCATTCATCAATTCAAAGCATTTTGATGATGCAGTGATTTTAAAAACAATAAAATAAAATTCTCCATGTAAGGGCTCTTGTAATGTTGTAGTACAACTCAGATGCTTCAAACATTTATTACACTAGCAAATATGCACGTGCGATACGCACGTGTTTCTAAAAACTATTTTAAATGCAATGAAAATATTAATTGAATTGTCGATATACAATAACGGTACATGGCAAGTCCTTTATCGATTTGATCGGGTCATGTAAAACAAGACTCAAATCATTTGTTCGTTAGGATGTCTCAGTTGCATGTATCGCTGCACTTTGACTTGAGTGTTGCTCCCTATCTTATCCTATTTCCATACTTCTGTTGATCCATACTCGTATGGATGGAGAACCCCAATCATTATATGGGTGGAGAACCTGTCGTAGTCTCAGTTGTGCTACCACAGACTTAGGAAGGTCGGAAAAAATAGTACTCATCATGTAGTGAGCTTACTACTTATATGTTTTCAGCGGTTATCCTTTTCATACTTGGCTTCCTAACGTTTACTGTAGGCACACACAAACAATGTGAGGAATTATGACTTTATTAATGATTTAATAAGATTATGCCTAAATAAACAGATATAAAATAACGTGATATTAATAAACAAACACCTGTAGATGCAAAATAATTATGACTTAAATAATGTAGTAATAATTTATTTAGCAGGTTCATCTAAACATAACTTTATGTTTTTTTGTTTTTGCACCCATAAACAATGTAACTTTTGTTTTTTCCTTTTAATTGCTAATACATACTGGGGGCTAGACTTAAAGTTAATTTACGGTGCGTTGCAACACGACTACGCAATATAATTTCAATCCAATGACTCAAACTTTCAAGGACATTGAAATGCTAAAAATCTTTGTTGTGCATAAAAGAAGAGGCTAATTTTAGAGAATCACGACCAAGTGCTTGCTTATTAGCTTCTTCCCTGAGCCGTTGACCATGTCAGACTTCAGCGTGTGGGCTGGACTCGCTGGAGTCCCATTTCCATTCCATTATGTCTTTACTGTCCCATGGACATCAGATGCTCCTCGTGCAGTCGTACTCAGTCGATGAACTCAAACGAGCCGCCGGCAGCTCCCGACCCAGCTCCGGGCAGCCACGCCGCCGGACCCCAGCACCGCGACGCTCTCAGTCGATGAAATCAAACGCGCCCCCGCCAGCGCCCGACCCAGCGCCGCGCAGCCACGCCGCCGGACCCCAGCACCGCGACGCTCCAGCTCCAGCACCGGGCCCCTAGCCTCTGCTGCGTTTCGTCGCCGGTTTCCCATGGCCGCCGGCCTTCAAGAACACAATGAAGTCGTAAGTTTTTTTCTTCGCTGAGAATCGCGATTTATTCCTCCTCGATCCAGTTTGTTCTGGACGTCGTCCCAACTTACGTTTCCGCAGGGGAGCCGGGCGACGGAGCCGTGACGCGGACTCCACAGGACTCCTAGGAGCGGGGCAACGCTGACGATATGTAACAGATAGCCTGCATAGAGCGGATCGGACTCTGATTGTTTTTGTTCTGCTGGTGTGGACGTTTTTTTCAGTCCGATCGTAGTTTTCTTTAGCCAAGACTTAGGTTTTGCCGGTTGTGGACAATTCCCTTACGCTTCGTTTGGATGTTGGTATTGAGGTGAAGGAATTGCATTGGTGCAGGAATACCAAATCTGAGTGGAAATGGAAATGGCCTGCAATGCCAATGTTGCTGTTTGGGTGTGTATGTAATTGGTAGTTAGAATCAAAGGGTAGCAGCCAATTCCAATTCTTGTTTGGATGTACAAACTGTTGAATTCTATGTTTTGAAGAGTCTAGACAGTATACAACATTTTACATGTATGGGAATGTAGTTTCCATAAATTGTGGATATATTGGAAGTATTATATATCACTTTTCACATATAAAAACAGGAAAACTTTATTAAAAATGATCAAAATAGCTGGAGAGGTATGAAAAAGCGAAAAAAAATGAAAGCACATGAACATAGCAGCCATTATATAGCAAATAACATGAGATCAGTAGCTTCCAAGTACCCATAGAAGATTACAACATACTAAATAGGTCGGCAATCAGACAAGACATGTTTTTGCCTATCATAACAGAAGCTCCTAATTACGATAACATGTTCTTAAGCATTACATGACAACAAGTTGATAGGAAGTCCCTCAATTGCCATCCTTCTCATTCAACATCAAGAGCCATTCCTTCCTCATGGCCATGGGAAGCTCCATAAGCGCTTGGAATAAGCGCTCATTAAGGATTAGCTTCCCATAAGATTTCAGCATGTCACACCTAGCAAAATCTGGTATCATTTGAAGTGCAGCAAAGATTTCAGCAGTAGGGGTGACATGGGGCAGCGATAATGGCTCAGTTGACTTCAAAGCAACTTTGAATGAGGTCTTCATATCTCCAAGCATTCAGAGAATTGCATCACCAGTTCGCTGCCTCTTTTGGGGCAACTCCGGGGATGCATCATCAGCTTGTTCAAGTGAATCTTGAGCACTTTCAGCACCAGTCTTGGCTCCTTCCCCATTGGTATGATCAGATGAGTAAATAGTGCTGAGTGCATCCCAATTCTTCACTACTTTGGTCTTGTAACAAGCTGATGCCTTGTTACTCTGCATAACAGGCACATGTTACTATAAGAGTGAGACAGAAGTGTGACAAAAAACAAAATATGTGTTAAGTAGTTAGCATTTTTCATAAATTTTGTGTAACTATAGACACTGGGCAGTGGACTGGTCACAACTCACAAGCATCTAAAGACCATCTATATACAGGTACTAGAACTACAGCAAACCAGAAAATAAAAACAGACGAGAAAGTATCCTTACCTCCACATATCTATTCCACACATCTTCACTATCAATTGACAGCTTATTATTCTCCCAATCCCAACCAAATCCACTCTGAGAAAGTATCTTGCTAATGATCTCATAATGCTTGTCAAAAGTCTTGCACCTTGCTATTATATTGTCCTTTGTGATCTCCACATTGCACCTCTCACGTACATTATTTATAGCAGTATTCTAGACATGTGGCTTCCATCTATTTTGGGCATGATCACCATTGTTGTGATGCTCAACAAGGACAGCCAACAATGCATTGTCCATCTCATCAGTCCAAGTGAGGTAAACCCCTTTTCCTTTTGCTGTAGACACAGTGCTATCCACAAAATACCACAGAAGTTAGAGTAAGGTAATATCATATAATACCACAGATGATGCATGTACACCACAAAAGACAGCTATTCTTTCACACAAAAGATGACCCACACGGCCTACTCCATCTCGGCATCACCATCCGCCTGACTCAAAGATATGTTACCCCAAGAACAACTGACTCAAAGTAAAGTTCTGTCAACACAATCCGCCTCCTCTTTCTTCTTTTATTTTCTTCAGTTATACAAGAAATCAATTCAAGATCTGACATTGTATAGCTACAATGCACACGCATCACTTGGAAGATATAAAATTCTAAACACAACAGCACAACAACATACGACAATAAACTTCACGGCGTACAACAATAACACAACAACTAAGAATCACATACCTTCAATTCATCAATTGACCTGAAGAGGACCCAACGCTTGGAGAGCAATCTGAAAAATTAATGTAAGACATCATTAGGGTTTCTCTGTGTACTGCAATGGAGTGCCATAGATGAGAGAGGGGGCTTAGGGATTCGACCAGCCATCCAAAACAAACTCCCTTTGTTTGCGGGATTGACCAGCGGGGAGAGAGGGGAAACAATGGAGGATGGACGGAAGTCCAAGGAAACGGGGAGGAGGCCGCGGCGCCGTGGATGGAGCGGACGGCCGGGAGGGAGCGGAGCGCGGCGGCGGACTTGGCGACGGGCTGTCAGGGAGAAGAGAGCGCGGAGGGCGCCGGTGAGGGAGCTGATGGTGGCGGCTGTGGGCGGGTAGGGCGGATGCGGTGGGGTAGGTGATGGGGAGGGGCGGATGCATTGGGGGAGGCGGGGAGGTGACCGAGAGAGGGTACTGGCGGGCGGCGGCGGCCTCCGCTCATTCCCCTCAACAGGCGGGAGCGTTTTGTTTTATGTGGGCGCGAGAGACGAAAGAGGTACGCGTGGGGGAGGGGAAAAGGCCGATTCAGGTGAATACGGAGCCGGAGCGCTTGGAATCGTGGGCGGGCTCGCGCAAGATTGGAGGGATATTTTCGTGGCATTGGCGCTCGATTCCGTTCCCTAATACCAAAGCCGTCCAAACAACAGGTATTTGCTGGTACCCAATGCCAAATCCAGATTTCAGGGCTAAATACCAACATCCAAACGCAACATTAGAGACTTATTAGGTGTATAGAGATTTGTCGCATTCGTATTGACGTGCCTTCAGGAATCGGGACTCAGGGGTCCAAGAAAAAAAAAGATGGTGGAGATCAAGAATAGAAGTCGTACTTGAATCATGTATCTAAAATAAAGGTGACTTGTGGCGGGTGGGATTATAGATGTACCGTGAGACGTATTTGAGATTGAATAGGAGTCTTACATCTTACATGTAAGATCACGGATAACGGAGGGCTCAAATAGCACGACGTGTAGATCGAACGGTTGTTATAGAGAAAGAGTAATATCACGTATGACGGATAGCTCATATAGCACAGCGTATGGATCGAACGGTTATTATTGAGGGGGGGGGGGCTCTAAAAAAACTCACTCTTTTACAGTGTGATAAGAGTATGGCCGAAACTAACGACAATACACATCCCAGATTTGCATCGCAGTATGCAAACCCTTCGTTATTACAACATTGGCTGTGAAGTTGCATCCATAGGCCATCTCAATTCTCACCACAAAAGCAACATAAAAGGCATTGGACACCAATCGAATAAAAACAAGTTGTATTTCTTTTTATCAATCGGAGTCTGCTAATCCTTGGTGCAGGTTATGAAAACAGGTTGCAGATGTAAATTAAAAGAGCAGGTGGGTTCCAAAATGACTATGGATGTTGCAATTTAGGGTCTAGATTTTTGCAATATGGTATTGCAATCACAATCTGGCAATTTGCAAGCTGAAAAAACACGCCCTAAAAACCTAGCACCTTTACTGTTTTAGCACTTCTTCAATTCTATCACGAGTAATATACTTTTTTGTCTTTAATTTGCTAATACTTTTGGCCTTTGGGAGCCATAACTTCATATATTACATATAAAAAAATAAAAATATGGGAAATGGGAATTTTCTAGCCTTCCTCAGACCTCAGTGCAGGTGTTTCCTTCAGACATTGCAGAGACTTTTGTGGTCGGAGAAATGCTTTACACACTTTTACTCCCAATTTTCACAAACAATTGAACAAAGAAATGCCATCTAGAACGCTCTAGCCAGTACCCGGACGCAGAGAATAAATATACTAAGTCGGCAATTCAGCGAGTTTGAGTCCAATTTCGTCAGAGATGCTGACTGATATGATCTCGTTATGACTGTGGTCAAGCAGGCTACATCCAGATGCATGCATGCATCTGAATGCATATAGATTACGGTGGACCTCTTTCTGTTGGATTGCTTCGTTAGCCATTGGCTCCATTGATTGGAGCATTATCCAGTTCTCCCCTTTCGAGGTTGGCATCAGGGCCTCGAATGCTCGATCGACCGATCACTTTTGCGTTTCAGGATGTGGATAGCATCGCCAGGTCAAGAAATTTAAGGAGGCGAAAGCCGACGGCAGCCTCCATGCGTCCGTCCAGTCAGAGCTACCGCGGCCTAGCCGAGTGTCGTGGCGCCCCCGCGGCAAGTCAGGCCTCCAGTTGCGGCTGCCCGCAGCCCGCGAGCTCGATCGCCGAGCTCTTCCGTCTTGCCGGGAGTGGGACTGTGGGAGGATGGGAGCAACCGCCGCCGCCGGCCAGCCGCAACGGGTTTTCGTCGTCAACAGCACCACGCCGCCGCATCTCGGCGCCTGTTGGGCTGCTGCCCCTCTTGTCTGCGCGGGACCTACGTGGCCCCTTTATCCATATCATATATCCACATCGCATTAATGTGGGGGCCTTCCTCAGCATTCCCTGCCTCAACCACCGTGCCGGCGCCGGCCTATATATAGGGCCCCGGCGAGCCCACTCGGCACAACCAAACACCACCCAACCTCAGATAAGTGAAGCACTCGCAGACAGATGAAGCAGTCGAGCAGATTGTGTTTGCTCTTCCTCGTGGCGCTCTGCACCACCCTGGCCTGCGACCTGGTCCAGGCACAGGTCCTCTTCCAGGTACGATTGCTGTACACGTCAATGTCGTCGTACGTAGAACGACGATCTCGTCAACTTATCATGCCACAATCTGTGCACGTACGTGCAGGGGTTTAACTGGGAGTCGTGCAAGCAGCAGGGAGGCTGGTACAACAGGCTCAAGACCCAGGTCGACGACATCGCCAAGGCCGGCGTCACGCACGTCTGGCTGCCTCCACCCTCGCACTCCGTCTCGCCACAAGGTACTTTCCACTGCCCTACACCTCAGGGCTCAGGCTCAGCAGAGTACTGGAGTACATCCATGTTTTTGTTGACATATATAACTCTTAACAACACGACGACCATCTCGGCAGGCTACATGCCGGGGCGCCTATACGACCTAGACGCGTCCAAGTACGGCACGGCGGCGGAGCTCAAGTCCCTGATCGCGGCGTTCCACGGCAGGGGCGTGCAGTGCGTGGCGGACATCGTCATCAACCACCGATGCGCGGAGAAGAAGGACGCACGCGGCATCTACTGCATCTTCGAGGGCGGGACGCCCGACGACCGCCTGGACTGGGGCCCCGGCATGATCTGCAGCGACGACACGCAGTACTCGGACGGGACGGGCCACCGCGACACGGGCGAGGGCTTCGCGGCGGCGCCCGACATCGACCACCTCAACGAGCGCGTCCAGCGGGAGCTCTCCGCCTGGCTCAACTGGCTCAAGTCCGACGACGTCGGCTTCGACGGCTGGCGCCTCGACTTCGCCAAGGGCTACTCGCCGTCCATCGCCAAGATGTACGTGGAGAACACCCGGCCGAGCTTCGTCGTCGCAGAGATATGGAACTCCCTGAGCTACAGCGGTGACGGCAAGCCATCGCCCAACCAGGACCAGTGCCGGCAGGAGCTGGTGAACTGGGTGCAGGCTGTCGCCGGGCCCGCGATGGCGTTCGACTTCACTACAAAGGGCCTGCTACAGGCGGGCGTGCAGGGGGAGCTGTGGCGGCTGCGCGACAGCTCCGGCAAGGCGGCTGGCATGATCGGGTGGATGCCGGAGAAAGCCGTCACCTTCGTCGATAACCATGACACCGGGTCCACGCAAAAGCTGTGGCCGTTCCCGTCCGACAAGGTCATGCAAGGCTACGCCTACATCCTCACCCATCCAGGAGTCCCCTGCATCGTAAGTGCTCGTTAATTACTCCAGAATCTCCAAGTTTCACTCCCAAATCAGACGTGCCTATAGCTAATCCGCGGGGTACCTGTGCATGCATATCCAGTTCTACGACCACATGTTCGACTGGAATCTGAAGCAGGAGATATCCACGCTGTCTGCCATCAGGGCGCGGAATGGCATCCACGCCGGGAGCAAGCTGCGGATCCTCGTCGCGGACGCCGACGCGTACGTGGCTGTCGTCGACGAGAAGGTCATGGTGAAGATCGGGACAAGGTACGACGTGAGCAACGTGATCCCGTCGGATTTCCACCCCGCGGCACACGGCAAGGACTACTGCGTCTGGGAGAAGGGGAGCCTCCGCGTCCAGGCTGGGCGGCACCTTTAGCAGCTCAGTCTTGTGCTGCAAACACAGCACTAAAGTTAAAGATCTCGATGAGAATTGCAACTTTATAGTTGATATTTTTCATTTGAAATCATTTGTGGTTCTAAAATTATGTTTTAAGTTCTCACAATATGAAATTCAAACTTTTCAAACGAGCTCAGATGAAAAAATGAAAAAAAATAAAAGTTATAGATCTCGATGAGAAATACAACTTTGTAGCTGATAATTTTTTTATTTGAAATCATTTGCGGCCCAAAAATTATGTTGCAAGTCTCATAATTTCAAATTCAAAATTTTCAAACGACCTTGGATGGCAAAATGACCAAAACCAAAGTTGTAGTACTTGATGATATCTACACCTTTGTAGTTAAAACCTTTTTCATTTGGATTTGTTTAGGGTCATAAATATTTATTTTAAAAATTAAAAAAGTGAATATGAGGGAAATGTATATGCTCTTTAGTCGAAAGTGACTTTGGGGTGGATTCGCTGGATGGCCCCAAATATTTATTTCAAAATCTAGAAAAGTAAATATAGTATATCCATAAATGTTTAATGAATTCATTAGAGGGGCTATAAATTAAGTAATCATAAATGTTTTATATAAGATTTATAAATTAAGTAATCATTTTTATATAAGATTTATCATAAAATCATATAAATTATATAAAACAATTTAAATAAATAAATAAATAAATTATTAAAATAATTACAACAACAAATTTATTAGGTTTAAACTACATTAGAAAAATACTAAAATTAATGTAATATTTATGGATCATTAATAATATTAAATTAGTATTAAAGTTATTTATAGATATACTATTAAATTATTTCAATGCATCATTAGTAATATTAAATTAAATTAAATAACCAGTGACTAGTCATTGAGAGAAAAATTTTAAATAGATTAATTATACCTTGTTCTTTGTGAATACAGTAAATATCGCATATTACATATTTCTATCGAATATAGATTTGGATCGGATAGAGATAAATACTGGAAAATTAATTTAAATCCTTCCATTTAGTAACCACATTAAAAACGGATACGAATGTGGATATCCATATTACATGTTTTAGTGGATACGAATATGGAAGAACTCAAATATCTATTTCTATTTTTCCATCCCTACCGGTGGAAGAGTTAAGCTAGGAGCTTATGCCATTTAATCCCCTTGGCGAGGTGTCTTGAATCGGAAGCATGATTGAAATGCTTGTCGGTTTGGATCAGATGGGAACCTTTTACATCAGTAGGCTACACTTTTGAAGTGTGAACACGGCTATTTTGAGGAAATTCCCCATGGACCTCTTGCTACAATGTCGTCAATGTGCAGTATTTTGGTTTCTTTACTATGAAATGAAATCCTTGTATAAGCTGCTTCATTTCTCGTCTTCTCGCACACATGTTAATCCACAATACTAGCTAGCAATATATAGCATGTTCTGAAATAATTAATATTGTCAGGACGTTTGACCAAGCCACAGCCCTTAGGTATGGATATACATCGTGTTCGGTTGCAATTGCAAAACGAGGCCTTTCGTGTGCCTCACAAATCACCGAGGCCCGCATCACCTGTTGTCGTCATGTCAGGTTATCCTGCAACTTGTGCCACTCGTGTGGAAAAAAAAAAACCTGTACACGACGTCACTATCGTGGCGCTTAATACGTTTACACTGTCCACGTCAACATCGTCATCTCCCTGAGCTGCTGGCATGCTGCATCCTGGCAAACATGCAAAAATCATAACTCTCATCTCGTTTCAGTCACTTTGCTGATGAATTAATGCAACTGAACAACTCGGCATTGCAATCAGGCATTCAGGCCTTGACCCTCCCTACCTCACTGAACGAGCAATCGACTGGCTCACCATGCACACACGTGCAGTGACACGAGCCCTTCATCTCTCAGAGCCATGGCCACCACGCACCGCCGTCGGCATCCAATGCAAACCAATAATTTTACAGCTTCGTGCCTCGATCGTTCTCCCACCACCACCTCTCAGTCTCTGCCTCCCCCACGGCTTCCACTCACCATCCTTCTCCCTTCCCTTCGTCGTAGCTCTGTTCCGCACCACCGACGGGCGACGGTGAAGACGTCGTTGTCCACGGCGGGCCACGCGCGCGCCGACAACATGTCCCACCGCCTCGGCCGCGTCGTCAGCGACATCAGCCACAGCAACTCCCGCTCAGTGACGACGGACCACCACAGCCTCCACCACCAGAGCGCGACGACGACGACGAGCAACAACAACGAGGGCGGCAACGTCGGCAAGGCCACCAAGCAGAAGCTCTCGCTCCTCATCTCCAGCGTCGTCTCCTTGTCCTGGACAAGAAGCGAGAGCAGCGGCGAAACGGGCGGCAGGGAGAAGAACAGCAGCAGCAGGAAGCAGCAGGAAGCCAACGGCGGAACTGGCGGCGGGAGGAGGCGTCGAGGCCTGGAGATAGTCCTGGCGGTGCGGAAGTACGTGGCGATGGTGGAGCAGCTCCTCACGTCGTCCTACTCCGCCAGTAGCAGCCAGCCGGACGTGGGCAGCAGGCGGCGGGACGGGCGGCCGCACAGGTTCACCTCCGCGCGCCACGCCGGGGGTAACGCTAACGCCGCCGCCCAGTCGTCGTCCAAGCGGCACAGGGGGCGACTGTCGTCGGCGCCCGCGTCGCTGCGAGGGTCGCCCGCCACCAGCGGGCACCTCTCCGTGGGGGAGTCGGTGACCAAGGCGTCGACGACGTCGTCGGAGGTGAGCACGATGGAGGAGCTGCAGAGTGCCATCCAGGCCGCCATCGCGCACTGCAAGAACTCCGTCGCCGCCGGCGGCGGCGGCGACAAGCAGCAGCAGGAGCGTAAATGTTGAGGCGGTGGTGGCGCGCGTCTTTGCGTGCGTGACACTTCACGAGCAAATGTAATCGTACGTGGCTCGGGCCATGGCCGTGACGAGTTTAATGGTTCGGCGTGTGTTCATCGGTAATTCGGTAATGTGTAAATTATATAAGCTGCATGCATGACTGAAAGGAGAGAGAAAAACTGAGTCAAATTTCTAGCGAATTTGTGTTCTCTGTATAAATTGTAAGGCAACTAATTATCTGCGCGGGGACGTGGGCTCCTTTGAGATTTGAATTTTGTACTGATAACAGTTGAATTCAACTACACTCTGATCATGTTCTGCATGGCAGGTTTAGAACTTTTTTTTTACGCCTCTCATCTGGATACAGCTGTAGCATCTGTTTATATACAGACACACACCAACCACACACACGCACACCACACTCACACCACGCGTACACAAACAAACCTACAACTACACCCAGATCACCAGATCGCGTCCTTTGTGAGATCACCGGGACCAACCATGGCATCGTAGGCGACGGGCGCGTCGCATTCCCTCTGTGGCTTCACGCGTGAGAGGCAACAGAATTTATTGGGGGCAAACCCCGGTGAGAGACCGGAAATTCGCAGCCACGGGGGCTCAAACTCCGACCGGCAAGGTTCCAACCACCGGGCCTTGCCACCCGAGCTACGCTCGGTTCTCAGGTTTAGAACTTTTAATGCAAAAAAGAGAGGCCGTCCATTTCCACATCAGACATGTGATTTATTATGAAATGAAAGAAAATCTGAAATATAAATGCACGAGACCAAAACTACCTTTTATTGACGAGATAGAAGCCCTGTGGCAGGGCAATGCAAGGGCGTCCTGCTAGTACCAAACCTTCCTCTTCTTTTTAACGAAACACAGATGACAGAAGCAGTATAATAGTGTGGTTGGCGACAATCATCAAAGTAATGAATTCGAAAGCTTCTTCCACCAGCAGGCCGTACTGGTCTCGAGCACCCATTTCAGCCTAGATGGCGACCGTTTCTGTGGTCTCGCTGTGGACTAGGGACGCATTTGGTTCCATTTGGTTTGGGTCTTTGGGATGAGAAGGAACCAGACAGACCCATTCTAGTTTTCTGAGATAGGATGGTCATTTCATTATGTTTTTTTTAAAAAAAAAACTTGACCTGTAGGGGATAAGATCATCCCCAGGCATTGCTGTGATAGAGAAGACGTTCTCACACAGGCCGAGAAAAACCCTCGAATTAACCCCTGCCCCACCTTGACACAAGGACACCGTTGCCCTGTGAGGACCGGGCCGGGACTTCTTAACTTGTGCTTTGGCCGTGGGATAGACGATATAATTTTTTTTATCCTTAGCCTGAAATTCACTCCCACGGGAGTCGAATCTATGACCTGAGAGGTGCTACTCGAGCGCTCTATCCGTCTCAACTAGAGGTCTTTCGCCATCTCTACGTTTAGTTGAGGGATGATGACGTACAGGGGATGAACCCAGGAGTAAGATTGACTGGAGGCACACAAATGATGATCATCAGATTCACCTCACATTTCTTGCTATGTGAGGGCTTTTGTCATTCACTTGTGTGGGGCACCAATGGTGAAAAGTAGTATAGAATCACCATTAACACTTTTTGAGAGGTGGTGTCGGGGTCATAACCCCGGGGTGTCTCAAGGTACCGATTAGTTAGCAGGCCGCGTGGCCTACAACGCAACAATCAGCAAGGGCCCAAATGACCGAGGCCCTACGAAAGCCGAGCGGAGTGGGCTAGTCTCCAAGGCCGGGGTCATCCCCGACCTCTTCCACCCGCCTTAGCACACAGCGCTCGCAAGATGCACGACCTCTCCCCGCCACGACCCCCGGGAGGGATGGGGGGAGGTTGAGCGCAGCAAGGCGCGCCTGCTCTGACAAGAGCAAGCATGCCGCACCGACCCCGCAAGGACCGAGGGGACAACAGTCACCTCGGCCCGATTAGACACCATTCCTGTGTCATGCCGCACCGACGAGATAACACCACACCGCGGTGGCAACGGGAACGATACCCGCCGTCCAAATACGGATCGACTAGACGCTTGTACGATCCCACCCACTATGGGATGGGATCCACGACAAGGGACTCCATGAAGCAACCAAGCGATCGACGACCCAGGTGAAAGCTCTAGTTTGGTTTTGATGAATTGATGAAACCCTAAGTGCTAACATAATTTATCTAAGTGATCATGAGATAGGTCGCACTATTCCAAGTGGCGAAGCAATGATGAAGATCATGATGATGGTGTGACCATGGTGATGATAAGTGCTTGGACATGGAAAAGAAGAAAGAGAAAAACAAAAAGCTCAAGGCAAATGTGAAATTTAATAGGAGCTTTTTGGTTTGGTGATCAAGACACTTAGTAAGTGTGATCACATTTAGGATCGATAGCCATACTATTAAGAGGGGTGAAACTCGTATCGAAATGCAGTTATCAAAGTGCCACTAGATGTTCTAACTCATTGCATATGCATTTAGATCTAGTGGAGTGCTAACACCCATGAAAATGTTTGTGAAAATATGCTAACACACGTGCACAAGATGATACACTTGGTGGTTGGCACATTTGAGTAAGGGTGGAGAAGTTGGTGAAGTGAAGGAGGTGATTTTTACTATTTAACTGTGACCGGACGCTTGTCATGAAGTGACCGGACGCTGGGTTGTGAGTCCGGTCAGTAGAAGCCGAGGCAGCATAACCTAGGGTATTGCATCGGACGCTGAGTTGGGTTCGGTCGAGGTACACCGGACACGTCCGATCGAGAAAATGCGGCTCTGGATGCTCTCTAGAAGTGACCAGACTCCACGTTATTGGAGTGTCCGGTCATTCCATCGGTGAGTCCGGTCGCTAGGTGTTGGTGCGTAAGCGTGTGAGGACCTGATGCAGGCGTGGTGCGCCCGGTCAGCTTGCCTGCGTGTCCGGTCGTGACTTAGGCGTTGCGCTGAGTCACTTGACCGTTGAGATCGTGCGGATGTCGTTGAACGCGGGGAACACGTGGACGATGATCAGTCACCGGATGCTGGGGCTGGTGAGTTCGGTCGATCTAATCGGTGCGTTCGGTCGCCCCGAGTTGGGCTGCAGTGAGAGCCCAACTGCTCTATTTCGAGGGGGGTTCTATTTAAGCCCCATGGCTGGCTCAAGCTCACTCTCTTGGCCATTTGCATTGACATAGCAACCTTGTGAGCGTATCCAAAGCCCTCCCATTCATCTTCATCATAGATTGATCATCTTTGTGAGATTGAGAGTGAATCCAAGTGCATTGCTTTAGTGATTGCATCTAGAGGCACTTGGTATTCGTGTTTTGCTGTGGATTTCGCTTGTTACTCTTGGTGGTTGCCGCCACCTAGATGGCTTGGTGCAGCGAGAATCGTTGAGCAGAGGAAGGTGCTTGTCTTCGACTCCGATCGTGGTGATTGTGAGGGGTTCTTGACCTTTCTCCGGTGGAGAACCAAAATGTACTCTAGTGGATTGCTCGTGGCTTGTGTGATCCTCATCTTGTGTTGGTTGTGCGGCACCCTATGGAGGGTTTGGCGTGTGATGCCAATTAGCGCATGAACCTCCAAGTGAGTGTATAGTCACAACGGGGAGTAGCTTGCCGGCAAGCAAGTGAACCTCAGTGAAAAATCATTGTCACCTCTTGTCACCGGGACTCTATTATAATTGATTGGCTTCATCTTGTGATTGGCACACCTCTCTAAACGGTAGTATAAACATTTCAACTACTTGTGTATTTACATTCACAGTGTAGCTAAGCTCTTTAGTGTAATTAGTTTTGAGAGCTAGCTTGTGTCATATCTAGTGGTTAGAGAGTCTCTTTAGTTACTCATTGAGAGCTCACTAACTTAGTATAGTGACATAGCCTTTGTGTGCCTAGAGATCACAGAGACTAGAATTGTGGTAGGTGGCTGGTATTTTAGTAGGCTAGCACAACATTTGCTTCGCCTTATAATTGTCTAACCATTTTATTTAGTCTTATTGTAGAAATTTTTATAGGCTATTCACTCTCCCTCTAGCAATTAGGACCTTACACCAGGGCAGCTACCTACTTTGGGGACGTCGCCCCTGGGAACCAGGAGATGATGACGAAGGCCATGATGGACACCGTGTTGCATAGGATGGCTGATGAATCATCATCGAGGCTACAGTGCCGCCACGGTTGGCACTATAGCGCCACGCCACACCCTATCGCAACGCGTCCAGAAGACCATGACAATAGCCATGACCAAATGTGCACTAGAAGACAGCGTAGCTTGCAAGCCAAGTTAGCTTGGACCTCCCTCAGGCTCTCGACCCTTCGGTCGGGAGAACCTCCTGCTTTGTATGTGCCCTGGCCCCGAACTCTATATAAGGGCAACCAGGGCACCATCTCTAGACATTCTGAATCCTCTACCATTCCATTCATTCACCATTGTAGTAGGGCTCCTAGAGCTTCTCTTCGGACAGCCCTTTGCCTAGCATAGGTCCTTCCATCTCTTCCGCCTTTCTGGAACACCCCATTGTAAGAACTTCAGAGCATTCATGCGAGGAACACGCACTCGATCATCTCTGAGACTAGACATAGGGCTCCGGCCTGAACATGTATAAATCCTCGTGTCTATTAGATGCTACCATCGTCTTCCTAGTGCAGCGCAGCAATCGTATAAATTTACTAGTTCGGTTTACAAAACACAGATAGTTGGCACGCCTGGTAGGGGACCATCGCGCACTCTCGATTGTTGAAGGAAGCGATGGCTCCTCGCACTGCCGGTGAACTCATTGGTGGAATGGCCACGGCGGCCACATCCACCACAAAAACTACGAGTTCATCAGCATCAAAGGGCCAGCACGCACGTTCCCCCGTGACTACGACACAAACCCCTACCATGGAGATCTGGGACACGTAGCCCATGGCGGACATACTCTCGAAACTGCCCTCGGGGGCTACATCCTAGAGTGCACCCGCGTGAGGGTCCCAGTGCCCTCTCTCGTTACTGGCCATGGCCGAGACCCCCACC